AAAAAAGAAAGGCATTGTGAGAAGTAGCAAGACAAGGTCTTACTGTCATTGAATACTGGTAGTTGGTAGCGGTCGAGACCATTTTACTGTTCTATGCTTAAATCGCAAGCATGCGCGTCACCAGGGTGGACAAAAAGAGAAAAGAGAAATTCTATTTGGATTTAAAAAATTGATATAATTTATTGAATTAATGTTATAGTTTTATTAAAATCATTAGATTAACACTAAATTTCAATGTTTAGTGTCATAATAAATTAAATAAATAAATTATATCACAATAACATTACTCAAAAAAAATGTATAAAAATAAATAATTTTCATCTGGGTTACATGCTACTTCCAAAGAATTTAAAAGTCTTATGGTCTATTTGATAGTGTGGATAAGAAAATGGAAGGCGGGAGTGATAATATATTTTCTATCCTTCAAGGGAAAAATCATTCCGTCTCTCTTTTGTGTTTGGTAAGAATGATGGAAAGTAACAAAAATTGATTTTTTTTGTGTTTAGTAAGATGGAAAAAATATATTTTTTATATTTTTAAAAGAATAAATACATATTTTACTATTATATCTATATATGAAATTAATGTATACATAATATGTAATTGATAAATAAGATATATCTATCAAATAACATATAGACAAATAACATAAACACGCATAATTAATTTTTCATCTATTTCTAAATTTTAGAGGAGATTGATTTTGACGAATTGGAAAGAAAGTTCATCTATCAACTTTTTCATCATTCATATTTTTCTTTTTCTATAAAACATGATATTTTATCTATCCTTCCAACTTTTCATCTTTTCAACTTTCTATTATTCTAATTTTTTATCGTACCAAATGAAGCATTAATCTACCATTTGTTAACGCTTTTGTTGAGCAAAAAAAAATTCATAAAAAAAAGAATGGTTAATTAATATTTTATAAAAATAATCCACATACATCTAAAANTTCATCTATCAACTTTTTCATCATTCATATTTTTCTTTTTCTATAAAACATGATATTTTATCTATCCTTCCAACTTTTCATCTTTTCAACTTTCTATTATTCTAATTTTTTATCGTACCAAATGAAGCATTAATCTAACATTTGTTAATGCTTTTGTTGAGCAAAAAAAAAATTCATAAAAAAAAGAATGGTTAATTAATATTTTATAAAAATAATCCACATACATCTAAAAACATAAAAATTATGAAACAAATGGAGTCATTGATAAATGGGGTTTAGAGAGGGGTAATGTAGATCGACTTTGCTTTTGATTATTGTAGTTGGACATGATTAGAACAGTATCACTACTGAGTCAAAAAGTAGAGAATGAATGTTTCTTACATTCACACTATATATTGATGTATTCATGAGATGTGTTTGGGCAAAAATCATCTTCAATTATAAGTGTTTAATGGAAACCTGTAGTTGGAGAGTAGGTCGGTAAAATAGAGAATGTAAATGGAATTAAAACGAGTGTGAATGCCTAAATAATTGACCAATGAACACAAAATGAAGTCAAACAGTATTTATGACTTTTAGGAAGGAATGTCAATCATTCCTCTCGAGCAATATGAAAAAAGACCACGATCATGCAATCTTTGCCTGTTGGGCAAAAAACCGTACTTCGAGATCAAAAAAAAATCCGTAGAAAAGATTGATAGTGTTTATAGGATAATGAGCATAATTGGGTTATTAGATCCAACAAGAATATGCACGAAGGAATGGGTAGGGTTTCAATTTTTGACACCACAANGTGAATGCCTAAATAATTGACCAATGAACACAAAATGAAGTCAAACAGTATTTATGAATTTTAGGAAGGAATGTCAATCATTCCTCTCGAGCAATAAGAAAAAAGACCACGATCATGCAATCTTTGCCTGTTGGGCAAAAAACCGTACTTCGAGATCAAAAAAAAATCCGTATAAAAGATTGATAGTGTTTATAGGACAATTAGCAAAATTGGGTTATTAGATCCAACAAGAATATGCACGAAGGAATGGGTAGGGTTTCAATTTTTGACACCACAATTAAAAAACACGATCAATTATCATGAATAATAAATTCGTCGACTTATTCTCAAACAAGAATGATATGTTCAATTGCTACTACATGTATGAAAAAATATTACGTTTTTGTTTTTTNGATCCAACAAGAATATGCACGAAGGAATGGGTAGGGTTTCAATTTTTGACACCACAATTAAAAAACACGATCAATTATCATGAATAATAAATTCGTCGACTTATTCTCAAACAAGAATGATATGTTCAATTGCTACTACATGTATGAAAAAATATTAGGTTTTTTGTTTTTAAAATTTTTTATTTATTGATGTAATATTTTATCACTTTTAGAAGAATCAATCGTTTTTTTGAATTACCATCCGAACTAGTAGTCTAGTGATAAGTCATACCCGTTTAAGGTTGTTCCTGACTCTCATGTGACTATCAACTATGGTTTGATCTACGAAATAACACGATTTGCTATTTAATTTTAATGTGCTATAGTGACAAGTTGTCATTTCGAATTAGTAATAATGACTCTAACTAAACATTCCATAATAGAGAGATTATAAGGGTCACGTTGAGGGGGTCACTACTTACTAGTTGACTCACTTCTCCCCTTTTACCTAGCCGGAAAAAAAATGTATCTTTGAATTTTTTTTAGGATGTGAATCATGATGACAACATCTTTATGTGGTGGATTAGATCAAGAGATAACGATTGTAATTTTGTAGTTTTGACTTAGTGGTTATACAAGAATGACCGGAACATGATTCGAACTTAAACTGAAACAACTCAAATATAGTAGNAATCAATCGTTTTTTTGAATTACCATCCGAACTAGTAGTCTAGTGATAAGTCATACCTATTTAAAGTTGTTCCTGACTCTCATGTGATTATCAACTATGGTTTGATCTACGAAATAACACGATTTGCTATTTGATTTTAATGTGCTATAGTGACAAGCTGCCATTTCGAATTAGTAATAATGACTCTAACTGAACATTCCATAATAGAGAGATCATAAGGGTCACGTTGAGGGGGTCACTACTTACTAGTTGACCCACTTCTCCCCTTTTACCTAGCCGGAAAAAAAATGTATCTTTGAATTTTTTTTAGGATGTGAATCATGATGAATACATCTTTATGTGGTGGATTAGATCAAGAGATAACGATTGTAATTTTGTAGTTTTGACTTAGGGGTTATACAAGAATGACCGGAACATGATTCGAACTTAAACTGAAACAACTCAAATATAGTAAGACACTACTCAGACAACATATGCTAGGAGTGGTGTGTTACATGATTTCTTGGCTATGCAACGCGTAAGAAAATTGATGGTTGGTAGGACGGTTAAGATCATAAGTTTTAGGCCGGTGGACGGTTTAGATCTATTCAAGGCAAAAGCTTTTGGGGGCAAGAGGGGGCCACACTTGCCGTCCCATATGATACTTAATTACTTGCGATCTAAACGCGTTTCAGTACTGGAGCAGAAACGTGGGGCGTTGGATCTTCAAAAAGGAAGGTACCCAGAAGAAGTATTAATGGTGGTCCTGCATCACCAATCATTCCTCGTATATGGATAGTTTTCTCTCTTAAATCCCATGGTGTTTGTGAGAGTTGACNCCACACTTGCCGTCCCATATGATACTTAATTACTTGCGATCTAAACGCGTTTCAGTACTGGAGCAGAAACGTGGGGCGTTGGATCTTCAAAAAGGAAGGTACCCAGAAGAAGTATTAATGGTGGTCCTGCATCAACAATCATTCCTCGTATATGGATAGTTTTCTCTCTTAAATCCCATGGTGTTTGTGAGAGTTGACTCAACATAGTTAAGGCATGTTAATGGATTGGTGCTCGAATCTGAATTTGATTGGTTGTATCGGGATTGAAGTTTTTGATTAATAATATAAATTGCGTGTTACATCATATTTCAAGTTTGATTGCAATTAAACATGAGGGAACAAACCCAACATATTGTCTAGCGTACGTGCGACGACCAAACTTTCTCACGCTAGAGTACAAAGNTGGTGCTCGAATCTGAATTTGATTGGTTGTATCGGGATTGAAGTTTTTGATTAATAATATAAATTACGTGTTACATCATATTTCAAGTTTGATTGCAATTAAACATATGAGGGAACAAACCCAACATATTGTCTAGTGTATGTGCGACGACCAAACTTTCTCACGCTAGAGTACAAAGTTTTTTTCTTTCAAATCTCAATTTCACCCCTAATAATTTTCAATGAAATCGAGTTCAATTTTAGATGTAATTCACTTAAATTCAATTTTCGTTGAATTTTCAATTACAATCTAATTTTCATGGATTCAAGTCTGAATCAAAGTTTCAAATTGAATTTAGATTCAGATCCAAACTATAGACAACCTAATCAATGGTTAATGACAATACAAGGCCACCTAGCTAGTAATCGCACAAGTCAACACCATAACTTCAGCTCTCGCCTCAAACCAGGAAACTTCGTACATAATTTTTCCGACATATATTTTCCAGGAAACAAGTTTTCCTCCTTATGTAAAGGTGAAACAAAAACTAACCTAAGACTGGCTAAGCAGCCCATGTAGATTATAATTGAAAAATCAAAAAAATACCCAGCAAAAGAAATTGAGCATACTTGTTTCTTCATCACGTGGATGGGCTTGAATCATGAGTTAAACACGCAAGCCATTACGATCGACGACTGACCATCTTCAATTTATAGAATCTGTTCGACTATGGTTACTGTTTTTCAAACATTTGAATTCAACGTTGGAATCTATAATTCCCTCCATGTTTCCTATATGTTAGTTGCCATCCCCCCCCCCCCCCCCCCCCC